GCTCCAATATGGCATTTGGATGCAAGGATCACATCAAATGGCACATTTGATCATTAATCAACCCCAAGAGACTCTATTTAGCCCACACCAGCTCATTCCGAAAAGACCAGTGTAGAGAGGCCCTTAAACTAACCCTCTGTTCCCAATCCAAATTGATCTTAGTGCAGAATGTATCTCCAGTCTGAGGTCCAGTTTAGGCAGTTCTTGTGCCATAGAAAGACTTCAATATATATCAAGCATTTTAAAAGTGCTTCAGGCTATGATCTTAGCCATGCTTAGTTGGGAACAAGTCCAGTTGATCCTAACACAGTTTATTTTAAATAGATATGCATTGGATTACATTGTAAATTTGGCTGAATTGTGGCCATCAGGATTGGGGGGAGGGAAAGGAAGGAAGGAAGGAAGGAAGGAAGGAAGGAAGGAAGGAAGGAAGGAAGGAAGGAACGAACGAACGAACGAACGAACGAACGAACGAACGAACGAACGAACGAAAGAAGGAACGAAGGAACGAAGGAACGAAGGGGCAGACAGACTGAAAGAAGTGCGCATTGGGGTAGAGTGGAAGAAAGACATAGAATAACATTGTACTGATGGCCTGTGATGGCTGTATAGAAAAGGGAACTTAAAGACTAACCTTTCATTGGGTGCTATCATTCTCATGACCCTCTCTAATCACGGTGCTTATCATCAAGCCTTTTTGTTTCTAATTTCCCCCTTTTCCTCCGAAGAGCACCTTCCCCTTCAAGTCAAGATCATTCAACAATCTCATGTTTCAAATTCGCCCAGCTGAAGAAAGTGTCATGTTGTGTTAGATCTGAAGAATAGGAGGGTGCTCGTCAATCAACGGTTTTGCAGGGTGCTAATCCTCGCCACAGTTAGCTGATTTGGCACTCTGAATTTTGACCACTGCCATGGTCAATCACTAAGCAGTTCTATTCAACTTCATCACCTTCCTATTCTTGTCAAGTATTTTTTTTCTTTCTCTCTCTCTCTCTTTTACCTTGGACACCTAGTGAAATAAAAGAAGAGGGGAGGGGCTGGGAAGGAAAAGAACAAAATCATCAAAACTCACAACTCCTGAGAGAAATAGACAATGGGGACTAATTCATTCATTCACAAGCCAAGACCCCTTTCCATTTGTAAGAATGCCTCTATTGATCTGTATATTAAAAGTACACCTTTTACTTGTTGTCTTAGAGATGATCAAAATAATACAAAATTAATACTCAGTGTTGTTGATTAACCAGTTTAAACAGCAGAGGGGGATTAAGGATATACATCAATATTTGCTCAGGGTGTTCTAATTATGGTGAGCTAAAGTGAAATCGAACATATAAAAAGAAGAAAATATGAAATAAAAAAGTGCAATTCAGATAAGAAGGTCTCCATCCCAGTCCCATGAAGTGAAATGGGGAAAGACCTCTTTGCCATCATGTTCATTTTCTGAAGCCAAATGTGTTAGCAGAATGAAGATCTTTTTCCACTGCTGTCCTTATGGACCATCAGGTTGCTTCTGATTTATGGTGACTCTAGCACGGTATTCAAGCTATGTGAGATGTTTAAGGAGTCGCTCACTGTTGCCATTCCACATTTGGTTTCCATGTCCAAGTGTGGTTTTGAATCTGGTTCTCCTGATTTCTGCTATCCACTATGTCACATTGGCTCCAGATCTCTGCTATCCACTATGTCACATTGGCTCCAAAATCTTTTTCAATTGTAAGCAAGTATTTGTGGAACTTCCTTCTAAAGGAAATATTTCACATCAGCCTGATAAACTGTATAGAACAGGGCAAAACAGAAGGTAGACTATGATGTACTGGAAGTTCTCCTTGCAGAAGACCCAGATATTATCTTATGAGGATAAGGAAGAGGGAGAGAAGGAAAGCAGCTGTTATAGGCACCCTGAGAAGCCAGCTCCATAAGGCTTTGTCTTCCCACAACAGTCATTGAACAGCCATCCAAGCTAAGGAAAAAGAAGAGAGGAGGAAAGTGAGGTCATCATGAGCTCTCCTGTGATCTCCGGAGCTGTAGCCCAAACACCAAATGTTTCCCATCTCTGATAATAACAATAATAACTCCACCACAAATTTGGCTGCTGAAATAAAGAGTTTGGAGAAAATGGTGGAAGGATTGAAGTCATGAAAGAGACCGTGAGCACAGATCTGATATTAAGAACACTTTCCTAAATCGGAGAAAATGGTGGAAGGATTGAAGTCACGAAAGATCTGATATTAAGAACACTTTCCTAAATGTATGTTTAGTTGGGTTTTTTTCCCATTCATTCTTGGTCTACCCTGTTGCTTCTTAATTCTACATGTAGTTTTAGCCACTCACTCAATATTTTCCACTTTCACAGTAGACGAGGGATCTTGAAGGTCTAGCAATAAAATCAAGACAGGTCCCATAAGCTTGGTGACTGCCCAACTGTAGGTTTAACTAAGTCTGGAAAAGCCAGTCACAGAATCAAATATTAATTGAGTTAGAAGGGCCCTATAAGACCATTGAGTCCAATCCCCATTCAATGCAGGAATTCAAATCAAAGCATTCCATCAGCCCTTTGAACTTTACGCTGCTAGGAACTGAAAATATCTTGAAAAGTGCTTCATTTTTAGGTGCTGCTGACTTTAATTCTGATTGGTTTATGTTTTTTTTGCAAGCCACTTAAAATATTTGTTGTTGCTGTTGCTGCTGCTGTTGTCAAATATGAAAGCAACCAAATCAATGTGGTTTTTCCTGTAAGGTCTCAGAATGGCCACCTTACTGTGGTTTTGAGAATAAGCTTATTCATTGGGCATGAGCCTGTTCATTGATATGCTTTGATGGTATTCCTGCATTGAGCAGGGGGTTGGACTTGATTGCCTTGTAGGCCCTTTCCAACTTCACTTTTCTATGATTCTATGATTTGTAAACAACTAATTGTTTAAAAAACACTAAATTCATCAACTGAAAACAATTTAACCCCTTAGTGGCTATTTCATCCTCCTTAAATAACGAGGTGTGTCACTGTTAGTCCAAGTTGAATGTGTATTTTATTTCTAGAGTGTGAAAACAACTTCCCATTGAACACCTGCATAACAGCTGGCTGGAAGGCAGGGGCAGGCCTTAATGCCACACAGGTACCTAGCAGAGAGAGAAATGGAGAAAGGTGAAACAGGAAGAAAGATGACAGAACAGAGCAGCTGCAGGAAGTTCTCCACAGCTGGAACACCAGGTGGAGGAGGGGCTCTTTGTGAGCTCATGCTGGGTAGCTCACCAGCTCTGTACCTCATGAGAGCACCCCTTGAACTGATACTAGGCTGCAGAAGCCTTGATCTTTTGCATAAAACTAGGAAAGTCACATCTAAGAGGATGACTACAGTGGTGCCTTGCATAACGAGCACACCGTTTAACAACAAATCCGCATACCAATCTATTTTTTGCGATCGATAATGCGATCGCATTGCGATGTTTTGAATGGGAAACCATTGCATTGCAATGTTTTTAGAACAGCTGACCAGTGGTTCCAGAATGGCCACCGGGTGCCCAAAGTGGCCGGCGCAAGCATTTTTGTGCGGTTTCCTCGCTTACCGAGGCAGCGAAAATGGCGGCGCTATGGAGGAGCTTCGCTGAACGGTGAGTTTTCGCCCCATAGGAACTTTGTTTAATGCGTTCCTATGGGGTTTTTAGTTCCGTTTAGCGACGATTCTGGATAGCGACGATTAATCTGGAATGGATTAACGTTGCTATGCAGGGCACCACTGTATATGGATATGCTGTGGATCGTGGAGCATTATCCTACCACTGCTTAGTTGTAGACAGCACCAGTGGATCATGTATATCCTTTCAAATGTTTTTGAGGCTCTGCCTCCCAGCCCATATCATTTTCTGGGCCAGTTCATTCTAGCCAAGTTGACATTGGCCTGTCCTTGTGAGTGAAAGCAATATAAATAGTTTCCGTTGCTCCAGTGTCCTGTGGTTTCTTCTTTGGCTCTGGTTTCTGGCTTTCTTCTTCCGCTACAGCGCTTCCTCTCCTGCCTGATGGCGAAACTACTTTTGTTGTGGTTGGTGGAGGCTGTAGTCAATTTTGCTCCTGCTTGAAAAGTAAAAATTAAAAGAAAATAGGATGGGCTATACTGACCTCTTGTGGTTAAGGTGCTAAATGCAACCCTTCTCTGTAGATTTGTTTCTTCATAAGATTGGCAAGGCTTCTCTCAATGCAATTCTGAGGCCTAGTCAAGGTTTGGAAATGTATCCAAGTTCAGTTCAGGGTAATTTGTACCACAGATGATTCAGTATATGCTCCAGATCTGAATCTTTTTGTATGCCTTGTTTTCACCAACCTGGGAAACCAGTGGATGGAGACAGTGGTTTATTGCAATCTGGAGGGCTGAAGGTTCTCCATCCCTTAGACCAAACATTCTCTGTGGCACATTTGAAAGGAGCCACAGACTGGAAAAAAAGCAAAAAACAAAGTACTCTGCTCTAAGTGCTATACCACCCTTTAGCACTTAAACCACCCTCCAGGCAGCTTACAATTTAATGATGCAGGCTACTCATTGCTACCCCCCAACAAGATGGGTGCTCAGTTTACCAACCTTGGAAGGATGGAAGGATAAGTCAACCTTGACCAGGCTCAGACCCAGAACTGAACTCAGGTTGTGAGTAGAGTCTTCATTACAGCACTGCACTTCAACCATGGTGCCACAAAATCAATCAATCAATCAATCAATCAATCAATCAATCAATCAATCAATCAATCAATCAATCAACCCCAATTCATTACACACCAGCTTATAAGGTTTGTTACGCAATTTATATAATCCAGATTCAGCTTATATTTCTTTCATATTGTGAAATCCTGGTTCAGCTTATATTTCTTTCATATTTCTTTCATATTGTGAAAGAAATATTGGCCAAAAAAGGAGGTTAAGAATGGTTCCCTTAGACTTCAGTGGGCCCACTGAAATAGTTAATGAAGCCTGTTGATTTTAAAGGGTCTCTTTTAGAGATGGGCACAAATGCCAGTTTGGCAGTTTGTGCCAGTTCATCCTTTGAATGAACCAGTTTGGATGTAATGCTCACCTCTCCCTAAAGAGAATATGATGTTGGACAGGGAGTCACTGTGGGTGCAAAACTACCACCTTTATTTCTGAGGTAGGTCTGTGGTGTTCGCTCCTCATGCCCCTTGCCTGACTCTCCAAACACAGAGCACATGAAGGCCAACTACTACTTTTCACCCACTGCCACTAGTTGATCACTAAATCAACATTAATTATGGAAGGATGAAGATGAAGATCCAAACTTCATTGTCTTTTAAATAAAACTTGTTTATTGATTACAGATGTTATTAATCATAGGTAACTTCTACAGGGTTAATTATCATCAATCTCAACCTTCGATCTGTCATAACAGTTCTTATTCACTCTTCACTTTAATCACCCCTCAAATGTCCCAAATACTACATTCTCCCTTTCCACCCTCTCTGACTCCACCTCTTTATTACCTGTCTCTCAGCTCCGCCTCTCAGCAACATTAGCCTGCAACATGAATATTCATGACTACTTAATGTAATAAGTGAGAATGTTACAAGGTCCTGTAGGCCAGCGGTCCCCAACCTTTTTCAGACCGTGGACCAGTTGGGTGGGTGCGGGCTCCATGCGCGGGGGGCACCCCACGCTAGCGGGTGGGCGTGTCATGTTCGCGGAGGGGCATGGCAGTGCGACACGCCCCTCCACGAACACAACACGCTGACTGTGCATGCAGGAGGGGGGCGGAGATCCATCTCCACGGCCCAGTCCCAGGAAGCCCACGGACTGGCACCGGGCTGCAGACCAGGGGTTGGTGACCCCTGCTGTAGGCCTCAGAAGTATGTAGTGTAAGCCCCATGGACTATCCTGACCTTAAAGACAAACATTTGCTTACTTTCAAAGTAACCAAGGATTGACTTTGTGCTTGCTTAGACAGCACAACAGCCTTTTAAAGTTGTTGTTAATTAGTCATTAAGTCGTGTCCAAATTTTTGTGACCCCATGGACCAGAGCACGCCAGCACACACACACACAATGGAACTGATCCAAGCCAGAGCAATCCTACCACACCAGAAACGTGGAAGCTAGTGATAGGCAGCAGAAAGATATGAGTAGGAATGGTCTGGAGGTGGGTTATTGTGCTTTAGCAAAGACTTGGTTGCCATCTTTAAGAATGCACCAACCCATCCCTGCCGTGCTCCAAACAGCCTGTGTCAAAAGCTTCGTACTCTGTCTGCAGAGGCACTTTGGCCTCTTCCTCTGATCTCTGTTTCAGGTCACAGTCATTGTCACAAGATCCCCGGAGACATCCTAAATGGAATTCTGCTTTCCAGGGCTCTGCTCAGCAAATCAAGAGGAATGTTGGTACACCAGTTAAGAAGAGACATCGTTGTCTATTGTTGCTGCTGCTGTTGTTTTTGAAGCCAAAATCCCATTATACCAAGTTCTGGCAAGGGAATGTGCAAGGTATATTATTACAATTGTAGCAACGGCAAACATGAAAAATTCAAGCAAATCTTGATGGGATTTGACACTTCATGAAGAAAATATGAATGTGTGCTGTATATCTTGCTGTGCAGCTCGCCTAGAAAAAGACATTATCCTTTTTTTTAAAAAACCCTCACTACAACAAATTTACTCATATATCAAATTGTGCTTGGTTGTGTGTGATATATAGTTCAGTGGCCCCTGCTTACACTTAATTTAAACCTCAATTTTCTAATTTCCAATGCTTTGATTCAGGGTGCACCGTATCATTCCTTATTTGTAGCAGTCTTTATCCCTCAAGCTAATGTTTTAAAAAGAACAAGAAACAACAATGACTTGTATATATTGATAAACCAAAGTTGATTATTGTTATGCCACTTTTTTTTACTCTAGATCTGAAGTGACATCCTATCATGGTTGTCTGTTTCCAACCACCATTGTTCTGATCCAAATTATTTCTTTCCACCATATCTGCAGTTTACATTGTTAAAATGTATATCGCTAATCCAAATCCCTCAAAACAAACTCATTATTTAGCTATCTAAATTACAGGTGGATTAAGGCTAGTCTTGATCTCCCCAGTCTCCCACACTAGGATCCCAAATTGATTCACTCAGGTTTCTTGTGTTTAGGTTTTTTTTATGACCCAGCTTCTAGCTATGCCTTTAAATAAGTGTGTAGTTTGACCCTCATGGAATGTTCCAAACAAACAAGCATTTAAAGCATGAAATGTATAGCATTCCAACAGCACAAGCCTATACACATCACCTTATAACTTCCTATCAGTCTTAATTTACTTTGAGCTGATATGCTGCCCTAACCTTAAAAGCATCAAAAATTCAAAAGACTCTGGGTCTTACTAGATAAGATGTTGGATCCTGTATCTAGAAGTAGTGCTCCCCTCAGCAGTGCTTAGGGTGTAATTGTGGAATACAGTAGAATTGTGAGCAATACGTATATGCAGGGGAAAATACTGTGATTCGTTTTCATTTGGAGGTCTTTCAAGAGGCTTATCTTTCATTACAGGGGTCTTACAGGTACATGGGGTTTTGGTAAACCACACCCAAATCTTTCATTTTGGAGAGATGGGCTTGGAAGGCAATGACAGAGAGGAAGAACAAGGCTTGTATTGGTGAGGAGGGGATGGCAGGAGGGAAAGACTGTACATATGTGGCTCAAATGAAGGGAACCTGATAGAGGAAATCTCAAAGAAATCTCTAAGTTTCAGCACCCTCTTTTGGAATCCCTCATCTCATATAGTTCAGATGATCTCAATCAGCAAGCAACAAAAGACTCTGAAACCAAAAGAAAGATCCTCTTTGAGGAGTTTTTCATTTGGGTTAAGCTGAAGGTCCCATCTCTAATGAGTTTCAACCCTGGTGGTGGTGTGCTTTCATCAGATTATCCCTAGTTTCTTTCTGCTTTCTGCCTTCTCTGCGGCTTCTTTCTCTTTTCTGCTTTTTAGACTTGGAAAATTTCATGACACCCTTCACCGAAGGACACTGGTAACTGTAAAATCAGCACCGGAAAGACTATTTATAGTAGTGGTGGAAAAGAAAATCTCTTTATAAGGTTTTTAATGCTCCTTATAAAAAGCAAACAAAACACTCTTGAAAAAGGACCAAATCACTCCAGAAATATTATACTGAATGTGATTAATGAGGCCAGGCCAAGATCAGTATTTTAAATAAAGTCCATAAATAAAGTCCATCCTGCAGTTCCATGAATATCAAGGGACTGGATCCTTTGTAAAATGCAAATTGTTTTTATGACTTCTTCACTCTAGATCAAGAGCAGCTGACGTTGTCTGAGATTACTAACATACCCCATATTCACTTGCCTCAGAAAATGTCAACACCTTTCCCCCCCCCTCAGAACTGAAGGACATCCCAGCCATCCATATGTTATAATGTTGACTACAGCAAAGCTACAGGGATGATAAAATGGAGAGAGCCTTGACATAACAGAGCTAGTTATAACTGACTTAGAGGGAAGTTTAAGGAGGATATACACACTGAAGGAATAAACTTTCATACAAACACAAAAGCACAGACAAGCTGAGACCCAGTAGGAAGTTGCCACTAAAGTAGACCCACTGAATCAGTGGGGATTTGGTGAGTCAACTCCTCTGCAAGTTATTTTGAGTCCCTTGGCCTACCCTAGTTGAGACCTACCACTGGAGTTTAGCCACAGAAAACTAATATGCAGGGGGAGCTCCAGGTTTGAGAGGCCTCAGCAAAGCAGAGGAATGAGATGTCTTTCCATGCAGTTCACAGACTTCTGCTATTATTTCTTATCAGTGTTCACAGATAACTGGGTATTTAATGGCTCTCAAATTTCAAATTCCCTGTAAAGGACCAAGATGGGCTTTGTGCGCCTCAATGATGCTTGATCTATGCTTTGTTTGCCTGAAAACTGTTGCACTGGAGCTTGTTCAGGTTAAGTTGACAATATGGGTATCCTCCTTAATCTTCTAGAACAGTGGTTCCCTACCTTGTGTCCCCAGATGTTCTTGGACTACAACTCCCAGAAATCCTAGCCAGCACAGCTAGTGCTAAAGACTTCTGGGAGTTTTAGTCCAAGAACATATGTGGGCCCAAGATTGGGAACCACTCTTCCAGACATTCAGCACTGTCCTCTTAGCTTTGGCCACATTGACTCCATTCTTGGGCCTACCTCAGGAGGAAAATGAATTGTGAAGAAACATGATCAAGGAAAGGAAGTCATACCTAAAATGAAGACTATCCTCGCTGTAAAACACTGCAGGTATATATGAGCAGAATATAATACTCCACTTACATCATTACACAAGATCACTGACTTGTGTTCGAGATCCAGAGCCTGGGAAAAAGTTGTTTTGAGGGGCGCTACAGTGTCTAGAATCAAGAAAATCTTAAAAAATTCCGTTTTCTGACTGGATCCACACTGTAACATTCAGCTCTGCTCTCACCTGTCCGTCACAGCTGGGCAGTGGAACATCAGCCAATGAAGGGACGGAGGGTGGTACAGAAGGGGGAGGAGCTGAAATATAAAAGGAGTGTGTGAGGTGTGAGAGGGTTAGATGGAGAGATTGATAGATGGAGAGATTGAGAGTTAGTGATGAGCATGTTTGAAGGACTGTGAGCCAAAATAGTCACTGAGGAAAAGTGTGTGTGATTCAATGAATGAGAAACAGTGATTTACAACTTATCTACCTGTGATTTACTCATTTTATTTTATTATATCAATAAACAAGTTTTGTTTTGGAAGAAACACTTGTCCTTTTAAAATATTGATTATAATTGGTGGCAGCAGTTGAAGAGCAAGAGTAGTGAGCACTCCTGGAGGCCTGAGTGGATAGAGGCTTCAGAGTGGCCCGCTACACACACACCATGGTTATTCTAAGTCTTGGCAAAGGGAACAGTTTGCTCTCAATGCCGCAAAAGGATAATTTTAAATTCTAAAAGTTGCAAACTAGACTGTTGATTTGGCTTTCCTTTCACTGTAAAACATGTCTATTATGCTGTTAAGAGCATGAATAAAGGGCTAAACTATGCAGGACAGGCCAATTTATAGACTAGCCGACCATCTAACACCACCACCCCTTTCTCAACCTGCTACTTTCTGTGTTGTTTTGGACTACAATTCCTATAATCCCTGGCCATTAAGCCAAAATGCAAGTCTTACACTCTCCAGCCAACAGGTTGGTTAAATATCAAGTACAGGAAGCCTGGTTATGGAAACAATATTGCATTGTTAAGGTGATGATTTGTGTCTCGTATAAGAGTACCTCCATGACTGCTATTTTGGCTTAGTTCTTATTATCCTACATCCACAGGAAATGCTGGAATTACAGAGCGGTTGGAAAAAGACAAAAGCAGAAGGCATAAAGAATCACAGGAGACTGCTAGATGTTATTGTAAGAGGCCTCACAGCAACCATTTCTCGTAGACTTATTTCCCGGCCTTTGGAAATTAGTTTATACAGGCAAGCCTCTGAAAATGTATTGCTGTAAAAAAGCAACAGGCAAATAAATTAAGTTAATAAACAGGGCATTCAAAAGGAGAAAAGCAAGTTCATGGACTGGAAAAATGAGCAACTCAGTAAAGAGGAAGTACACAAAAACAGATCACGTATTGTGTGGTTTCACCAGACTGTGTTATTTCACTATAAAGATTTCTGATGTCTTGGTGGGAGGAGAAAAAAGATACAGAAAGACAGTGAGTCGCAAGAGAAATAATTTCCATAGAATGCAAGAATAATATTGAAAATAAGGATCGAAACAAGGGGGACATCCCTTGTGTGGAGATTTAAGTATTTTTAGGAATTAAGACTAGCATACAAACCCTCTATGTTTGTGCGTTTCCGATATTTTGCTACTAAACTATTTATATTGCACTTTTTGACTGCAATCCTATATACTCTACCTATGCAGGTCTGAACTCAGTGGTCTGATATCTGAATCGATATATATAGGATTGGACTGTAAATCAGCAAAGGGCTTGAGAGAGTCACATGTATTCACATCAGCCAAAGGATGGAACAAGCAAATACTATTCTCATTTTAAGCATAAGGAAAAGTGCCTTGCCGAAGACCTTTTGACAGATACATAGTGAAGCATGAATGTAAACCCAAGCCATACTTACTCTAGAACCAACAGTGTGGCAGGTGCTTATAGAGAAGAATAGAAATTATATTGTCTCTGCCTGGATAGTTTATTTCAAAAGTGGGTAAAGTTTTTTGAGGACTTGGAAGGCCAAAGTGCAAGCTGTCGCCCACTATGGGATGCACCAAGCCTGGAAATGACTGAAACCAACCATTTATTGTTGTTCTCTTTAAAAAGATCAAGCTTAGGGTGGGGGGAAGTCTAGGGAGATTCCCCAACTGTCATTAGAAAAATAAAATGCTATTCCTTGACCAGCGGTGTGTGTGTGTGTCTTTCTAAGCTTTCTTTGGTCATTTTGTTTCTTCTATGGAATGTGGTGTGGCCCTCAGGGTCATAAAAATCTTGCCGAGGGGGCTGCATGCCGGCTGTAGGTCAGACTCTGCACAAAGCTTTATGTGAACTAGCAAAGTTAGGATAACTGTGTGAGACTAGATAAGGTGACTAGATAGCTACCACTTCTGTATCTGTCATGCCAAAGGCTCTAAGTCCACATGTCACTCTCAGCCTGATTGCACACAGGCCTATTGGCCTAATTTCAGTCATCCTTTGCAACAAAGTGATGGATTCAGGCTGGATTGGTCTCTCCTGCACAAGGCTGCTGAGGAGAGGGAAAAGAGGGAGATAAAGGAGGGAGCAGGAGAGGAATTGTCCTCTTCAATGCTGTTTTTGTGACTACTCCTAGGCTATGAAACTAGGTACTTTCATGGGTTACTCGCTGTTGTTGTTTCCACTGTTGGAAAATTACCTTTCTCTTCAAGTGAACTTTGGGAAATGGCAGAAGGAGGTTTCCTTTCTTAGAAGCTCATGAAAAACTCTTGAGCAGCAAAAAACAAACTGTTTAAATAACATGAGGTTCGATTATCTTGCAGGACTGAAGTAGCAACAAGAAATGTAGCAACTGCTACAGAGAACAGAAAAATAAGAATTTTTATCTTTTAATAGTGTAGGGACAAGGTCTCTAGAGAATGTTACTTCCATTACTGTACCTCAAATAAAAGTTTCATAAAACAGCATCTCACATTTGCATGAAAAGGGCAAAAACAGAATATGTGAAAAGGTGCTGTCACAAGGACAAACCCTCTTGGAGTAAGGTTGCCCTGACAATCTTCCTTGCATCTTCCCACATAGGAAAAGGTTCTGCAGTAATATGGAATAGTTAGATTGGAAAAAAAAAAAGATGGAACTGTCTTAGGAACAGAGGTACAAAAGAAAAAAGAAAAAAAAGAGACCACACTCATCAACTCTCATTGGCATACTACCCAGAACTATTTTTTAGTTAAATACAAAAAAAACCCTAACCAAAACAAAACCCTAAAAATAACATATATAAAAATGAAATCTGAAAAACAACTCAGTTATTATACATAGAACCCAATATGCTTCCCCACAATGGGATCACTGGAGATATTTTTCCTTCCCTTTATGAAGCCCCATTCCCCTTCCAAAACCACATCGACTTTTGTGAAGGTACACAACCCTTCCCCTTTGTTCATGAAAAATCAAAAATTCTCTCTGTATATCTCTAAACAATATTCTTATTTTTCAGTCCTTTCCTTACTTTAATATTGCACATTAAGTTATCATCAGCTATATTCCACAGTTCTTTATAGGTAAAGGTAAAGGTTCCCCTTGACAATTTTTGTCCAGTCGTGTTCGACTCTAGGGGGCGGTGCTCATCCCCGTTTCCAAGCCATGGCGCCAGCGTTTGTCCAAAGACAATCCTTGGTCTTCTGACCCTGCAGCACAGGCTTCTGCGGTTTAGCCCGCATTCCTTTAACTGGAGATTGCATTTAACTTTCCAAATCTTTGCTATGATTAATCTAGCTCCTGTTACTACATTTGTAATCAATTCTTTCTTTGTCCAATCCCATTGCTCATTCACCAAAGACTGATAAAAATGCTATTTTAGGACATATTTTTTTTTAAATTTAACTGCAATATTTTATTTCAATACTTCTTTAAAAACCTACTCGGGTTTCTCTTCAGATCATATAAAACATTTACCTTTTAGCCAGATCTGTTTGATGAACCTGCTTCCTTTTTTTTTTTTTTTTTTTTGTAAGTATGTATTTATTCAAGCATTTACCTGTTCTATATTGAAGCATCTCGTATAGTTTCAGTATTTTAAAACACAGTACATTGTGTCTCAGCCTCAAGGTTTCTGCTTGAAGACATAAGACATAAGAAATTTATTTGTCATTGCGCTCACAAGTGGGTGCAACGAAATGAGGTGCTCTTCCCCAAGGTAAAACTGGACAACACTACAAAAAAAAAGTTAAAATATACACAACTTTCACCATCCAAATATAGATACCCCGTTTTCTCTCAACCTCAAGGTTTCTGCTTGAACCTCGAACCCCTTGGAGCAAGGGAGTTCAAGAGGCCTAACTGAGAACTAGGCAGGGCAGGGATCCTGTGACCTTTCAGATTTTACTGGACTGTCACTCCCATTATCCCCTACCATTGCTTATATTGGCTAAGCAATGGTAGTCCTGCAATATTTGTGGGGCTTTTTACTTCTTTTTTAAAAATTAAATAACAAACAAACAAATAACAAACAAACAGTCAAAGGAATATACATCTGATAGCCTTGATCCTCTTTCGCCTACATCCCTATTTAATTATTGTGATATACCCAGGACTTCTAGCTTGCTATCTATTAGTTTCTGCCAGGAAGATCTAAAAGGGTCTTCCCATAGTTGGGCAAGAAAAGAGCTCTCAGAAATTATGAATTTCAAAGTCATGTTTAAATCAAAGGCCCGGTTCCATGTTCCTGTCTTGAAAGTAGGCTGGACAGACTCTGCCCATTCAACAGCATTCACCACATACTGTGGGATATTCATAAGAAAGAGGAGAGGAGATGGTCTAATTTCTCTAATACGCCAGTTATCCATACTGCAATACCATACAAAATCACTGGAATTACTTTTGTGTTAAATGCTAAGAAAACTGTGGGAACATACCAACCTCCTTTCATATGACAGAATTTCACTACCGCTCGTGACGGCGCTTTTGCTCTGTGCAAAATACTATCTTGCTGATGTTGGCAGGATAAATTTAAAGAAAATATCACTCCTGAGTAGCAAAAGTGTTTTATCTTTTCCAGCTTCCTGCCATCTAATAGCCAGCTTGATTTGTGTAATGAGTTTTTCTTGGAGAAAAGTAAAATTTTTGATTATCCCTAGGCTATTTAGTTTACAATATTTGGAAAATGTCTTTAAAGATCATTTAAGACCAATTCTGCACCAGGACAAAAGTGCTGCATCGTCTGCAAAAAGAAGAATTATTATACTCCATTGGGCCAATTTTGGAGGATGGCAAGATTCATCAGCGTACAGGGCAGAAGGAGCATTTATTGGATGGTTGCTGTACATTTTTGTTGATGTGCCTTTAATTGGCTTTAATTCAAGTACACTTTAATAGTACAACCAGCTCAGTTGTGTTTTAATCTTAGAAGCTCTTTGGATTTAGATCTGTAGCATTGTAGCTAATTCAGTTTTGAGCCAGTTTGAGTTTGGAAGAAATAATAATAATTATGTGCCAACAAATCAGTTCTAATTTTTCAGGATTTTCGAGGTAGAACGTACTCAGAAGTGGTTTGCTATCTCCTTCTTTTGGGGGCATCCATGGACTAGGCAGCTTGCCCAATGGCACACAGGCTAGCTCTTCAGGGATGCAGAGTGAAGAATTGAACTCCCAATGTCTGGCTCCTCAGAATCCTCACTCACAGAGAAACGTCAGATATAAATCAAATGTGTAAACAAATGTATAAACATACATTGGCTTCAGCTCCACAGACATGTTGTATACAACTGTCAATACATTCTGCTGCCTGAGGTAAATGACAAGATGGTGCCCTCTTATTCTGTATATGTGACAGAGATGGGACTCCTCACTTCTCTGATTCTTGCGGGCAAGAAAAAAAAAACCTGCCCCATTCTTCTCCCCATCTGCAAGGGCCTGCTGTTGTTGAATGGACCCCACACTTGTAAGACTGATTTTTGTGTGCAAAGACCAGCATTTTGCACAAAAGTGGAAGGACAGCTCCTCAGTTTGGGCAACCTGTGACACTTTGAAGCCTTGTAATGTGTCCTTGGCAACTTTCTTACAATTAGCCAGTCCCTCCATGCTTGCTGCCCATGTCCTCTTTCCTTTTCAAAGAGTTTTAATTGAGGGGGAAGGATGGGAGGTGGCACTCTTGGTTTTTCAAGAAGAAAGCACTTTATGTGAAACACCCAAAGGCAGAGACTGCAGAGATTTTAAATGAAGAAAACAAAAAAACCTCCTGACTCACTTTTGGCATGAGGTGAGGAGTTTTGAAATTCCTTGCTGAGGCTTGTTGCCTGTTCTTGGGCATGGTCAACAAGAATTAGGATATTTGTATTTGCCACATTCCTAATATAGATTTGAGTAGGAGTGGCTGTTGAACTTACTTCAGTGCTGTTGAAGAGTGGTGCTGTCCAGTGCACCCAAGGATAGTTAATATAAAGGTTGCAAGGATAGTTAATATAAAGGTTGCAAGAAAGGCCATGTGGTACACACAGTTCTGTCCTTCTCC